TGACCATGTTACAAAAGAGCATTTTAATATGACAGTTTGCTCTATCAAATACTAGTTTACATGGAAATAAATAGGAGGCACTACTTTCAGAGTGATCTATGTATTATGGCACCAGAAAACCTGTTGGTGACATTAACACAAAACCTTTCATATTAGGAAAACAAGCTGACAAATTCCTACATAAGAATTCAACAAATAACACCCTGGGATCTCTCTAAGTTATCAGTGTTTTAAGTTAAAAATCTGCTGCAATTTACATATCTGCATAAAAGACAGTAATTGCTGTATATATATGCATGAAGGGGAATTTGGTACTATATATCGCTTAGATTGAAAAAAAAATCAGGGTGGAAATCATCCCTCCCCAGCCCCCTCAGCAGCAAATAACAGGTACTGAACGCTTACAATAATGAAATCAATTACTATCCTAGTCATCAAACAAAATTCAAGACCTTAAATTCTTACACAACTTTGAAAAAGCCTGCATCTTTCAAATAACAACCTTACTTGGCATTTCTTATAATTCATTCTACAAACAGCTGTAGCACATTTTTTATATTAAACAAGGATATTAAAGTTGATACCAGTCTGACTTCATATGGATTTCCTTTGTTCCGAGCATTTTGTTTTAATGAATCACTAACCACATTCCAAAAAGCAGCAGCTGAGCATGAGGTTCTAGACAGACTACCTATTCTGGATGCAGATTATCTATGGGAGATGATTGTTACCTCCACTTTAGCTACAACAGCAAAAACAGCTAGTCTGGGTTTATTTTTTTCTAAAATAAGTGAGTACACACATCCTGAAATAACATGTAAAAGCTTAACACACATTGAACCTGAATGAGCTTAAGAATAATATTTTTGAAGGGATGTTTCTGTAATCCTCTAAATACTACAGTTACTTAAAATAATACCCAAAGCTTTTTAGAGCCTCAAAAAATGCACTTATTTGTCAGCAGCAATCTTGTGAAAACCCTCAGACACATAAGCGTGCTTACTCAAGATACCCAGGAATGCACACACTTACACCAAGAACTAGAAAAAGTGCCACGAGCTCTTAGAGCTTAGCATTGCACTCTTCTCATACAGAAGGATAAGCAAAGGCTTAACAATTTCACTTGCAGAAGCTTTTCTCAGTATTCACATTAAGTTTGATTATATTACTCAATTTCACCTAGCTAATTTTGATACAAACCATGCCTCTAAAAAACACAGCATCTTTGCATGAACATCTGAAAAGAGAGTGGCCACGTTTCTAAAAAGGAAAGTCACAGGAGACAAAATACAATATTAACAGCAGGGAAAAAAAGATAATGTTCTCCCTGCCTCCTCGTTTTAGCACTGCTTGGTCACCAGGCATGAGGTTTATGAAAAGTAGCAGTGTTCCAGCAGAGTGTAAAACTTGCCTTCATCTCTTAGCAGCACAAGCAGCATTGAGGCACATGCTCCTTAAACTCAGAGGTGACCTTAGTACTATAACTTTGAGATTATACCACCAGGATGGAAAGAAAGGAAGAAATCTGAGAAACTATCAAACTGCTTTTCCTTCCACTCCCACACAGCATTTTAACTCCATTAGCCATCAACTAGCAGCATTTCATGATTTGGTCACGTTTACCATAAAATGATGGTGATAAAGTTATGTCTCAGCTGAGACAGCATCCAACATAGATAGAGCTCACTAAGATAAATAGGTCACATAAGCACACCTATTTTCATTGCAGAAAAGCAAACTACAAAGGCTGTTCTGGATTGCTTTCTGCACAGAGAGGCCCAATCATAATTTTCAGGGTTGAACCATAGAACATTCATATGATCAAATTTCCATTTGCTATTCTCATTCTAATGCAAAACTAGGAATTCTTCTGTATTTACAAACTCACATGGAACAGCTGATCAATATCGCCTTTGTCTGATCACATAACCCCAAAGGTTTGAGCGCAAAGCAAAAGAAGGTGTGACTGACTACAGCCCTCCTAGCTGTGTCCCTATCTTCTTTCCCACTATTGTTACCGCATTACTGTTACCACTATTGTTACCATAATAACCTATTCCTGCTATTGTTACCATAATCCCATTAATTCAGTCTAGGTACATGCCAATGTCAAGCTTCCATTTCAATAATTTAAGTTCATACCCAGAACGCCCATGTAGCCCCTCCAGCTCCTTTTGAAGCTTTCAGCAAACAATAAGGTATTATTATTGAGAACATATTGACTTCCTGGATAGATAGTGAGTACCCGTTGCATGTTCCCAGTTTTCCTAAAGCTTACATGAGCACAAGGCACTGAGGACATGTCCATGTATCAGGCAGTGGTGCTGGCTGTGCAGACTCCTCTGTGCTGGGGGAAATCCCACATGTGCAGGAAATCCAAGAGAAATGATTTACAGTCATGATGAGTTCCTGTCCCACTGCTCAGATTGATCATCTCAGAAGTATTAATCTGAGCCCTGTCATTTCATCAAATAATGAACTTTACCCTTTGGCTGAGAGACGAAAAAAGGAGGAGGGGGGAAGGGCGGGGAATGTAGTGCTGTACACTCTTATCAGTGCCCAGTTGCAGCACAGCATGCCCCTGCAAAAGCTATAAATAATAAGTTCTTCACATCTATCTGTAACACTTCCAGGCTGCACATCTCCAGGACAACATTAACATATAACACTTACACACCCGCATAAAAACACAATACTCTATTTTCTGCCTACATGTTCCTACCTCTTACGTTGGAGTATCCTTAGCATCAACCATACTCTAGAAAAACCGTTCCTACAGCTGAACTTCTTAAAATAGGAGTAAAGAGGAATAAAGATGTTGGCCCAAGGTGCTGTATGACCTACACTTACGTACTAACATGCAATCACAGGCATGGGTTGATAGTTAGATAGGATGCTCTTACTGGTCTTTCCAACCTAAGTGATTCTGTGATTCTATGCAGCACTATGGATGGAAAGTAAAAACAGGAACCAGAGCAGCCACAAACATGAGTGATCATACATTTTTTCATTCAAGTTCAGAAAGTTCAAGCTACTGACTTCTTACTGACAATATAATCACATTTTCCTTGAAACAATTACTTACAGTTTACTTATTTAATCCTATCTAATCATTTCAGACAGCCATCCCATGTTCTCTCATTGCAGGAACAAATATGCATAACACTCACTCCCTCAAACAGTTCCAGCAAAGGCAACAAACCCACAGCTGAAGACTTCCAACGTGACAAAGCCTTCTGGGATGCAGTCTCTCATTCTTCACTGCTCTCCATTAGTCAGGCATAAGAACGTTTTCCTGTTAATGCAATGGCTCAACACGCGCTGTCATGCTCCCTGCCCTGTCTCTTGACCTTTCCTTCTTCAACTTGTTCACAGCTCCCTTCTTTCCAGGGAATACTTGCACTTCTTCGTGGTGCCCTACAGTAGCAGCTCCAAAAGGCTCTGGGCTTCCTTCAAGAAACACAGCGACCATCTACAGTGCATGCATAGTATTCCCACACAGCATCACTTAGGAGAATTTCTCCACAATCAGCTGTTCTGCCTCCACCCTATAAATACACACCATGGCCAGTTTTCATGCTTTCCACCTTTTTAGCACAAGCTCTTCTGGGGACTGGCAACTCAAACACGGGCTTCACTCGCTAAATAACTGGCTTATTATAGTCATAGAGTAGAGCGTTGAAGCATTTTTTACCTTTTTGTAAGTTTTGCCTTTCTTATAAATAGTTTGAGTGATAAGAGGAGTTGCTGGCTTGATTTTATGTTCCTATTTTTAAACACTTTGCTTTGAAGAGTGCTGGATAAACATTTAAGCAATACGATCACTGATAGCACGCTAGCATTCAGAACATTACAATGTAAGCATTCAACTGTAATTAAAACATTTGGAGAGAGACTCAGTAACCTTTTCCAATGCACAACAGTACTTGAAATGCACAAGTTCTGAGAGCAAGGTATGTCTGTAGCAGTCTGGATATCAGAAACACACGTACAGCTAACATACGCTATCACAACTTCCCACATAGCTTCAGTACAATCTCCCTTATTTCAGTTCAGTAAAACAAATAGCACTGGTACATTCAACTTATTTCTCCAACCAGACAAAAAATAGCGCTGCTAACCTAGAAAAAAGCAATCAGAATATCAGTTTAGCTTTTAATCCGCACACTCCACCTCCCAAGCGAATAATGAATGAGCTGGGCCATGATCGCCCTCAGAAAGCATGTCGAAAATCTCCAAAACAATGAGCCGAGGGTAAGGGCTGCTATGGAGCTCAGACATCAAAGGTGGACCTAACAATGTCACATGCTTATGCTCCACATGCTGGGCATCGTTTTTATGCATCAGATGTAGCAGGAACAGCAAAACCACAGCACTTGCTGAAAGGTACTCCAGTGCTAAGGTACAAAACTTTCTACGCAAATGGAAGTTAGCACAGACTTTTGGGCATCTGTAGCTGCAAAATGAGGATTTGAGCAGAACCTCAACCATGTGCTCGGACAGAAATTTCAGCCCAAGGTGTCACGTTACACCTCCTGTAACTGTCACGCAGCAGTATGTCATCCAAAGTGTCAGTAACTCCGAGCGACTTTTCAACAAATGGCAAGGCTGGGCTTCTGTTGTCATCGTCCCCCCCATGCTCCTCGATACTTCACTCTCCAGCCCTTTCTCCGGCTCCTCACACCTCGCCGCACCCCGGGCCCAGCTCTGCCCTACGTGGGGAGCGCCAGGCACAGCCAGGGGCAGACACGGCTGCATCCCATGCAATGGGGCAGCAGCGGAGCTGCCGGTCAGGTGCTCCGCATTTCTTGGGAAATCTGGGGATTCTCTATTTTTTTTTTTTTTTCCTTCCCCCCCCAGCAACCCTGTAACCCGGGATTCTTTTTATTTTATTTTTTTCCTCTTAAATTAATCCCCACTCTTAAGGTCTCCTCTCCCAACTCTACTTCCCCAGCAGCATTTCCAAGGCGGAGCGGAGCCGCACGCCCGGGGCAGCTTACCTTGGGCTCCCCGACACCGGGCTCCTCCTCGTAGAAGCCGTGCCCGGACTCGTAGCCGGCAGCGACGGGTGGCTGCCGGGGTCCCAGGAGCACAGCGCCAGCAGCGAGGCAGCAGCCCAGGGAGAGCATCTCCAGCAAGTGCATTGTGCGGAGATGGCAGGGCGGAGCGGGGCCGCGGGGCAGCCGCAGGAATGCGGGCACAATTCCGAGGCTCCTTCTTTTCCTTTTCTCCCCCCCTCTTCTTTCGCTGTCCTCACCCCCCTCCCTCCCCTCGCAATATCCAAGGCAGTAAAATCCGCGGGATGGAGAAGATGCGGCGGCAGCAGCAGCAGCTCCCAGACGCCTGCAGGGGAGCTCCCAGCTTTCCCAGCCTCTTTGCAAATTCTCACCGAAGTTATCCGGACTTTGCCAGGTAAAAAAGCCACCAGGAAACCGGACATCCGAGGCTGCGCTCGCTCGGGAGCGGTGGAAAGCGCAGACAGGAGGAGGAGGAGGAGGAGGGAGAGGAAGGAGGGAAGCGGGACCCAGCGGCCGCTCGCAGCCGGCGCCCTCCCGCGGGGCCCGCCCGGCCCGGCGGCTGCGCGGCGCGGAGCGGAGCGCTTGGCCGGGGGCTGCGCGGCGCCTGGGGCTGCGCGGCGGCGGGCGCGGGGGCCGCGCATGGCGAAAGCGCCCTCTGCCTGCGGCTCCGAGCGGCGGGAGGGGCCACCCTTCCTCCTCCTCCTCCTCTCGCTCCTGCTGCTGCCGCCTGCTGCCGGCTGTTCAGAGCGAGACGCCGACGGTCAAGCGGAGCCCGTCTCGTCCAGGCCCAAGCGAAAAAGCGGGACAGGGACCTCGAGGGGAAAATCAAAGATCTCGGAGGGCTGCAGTCAATCAGCTAGGAAATCGGCTGTGAAACGGCCGGGTGAAGCTGGTTAAAATGCTATCTGAAGTCCCTTTGGAATCATTCAAGGTTTCTTTAACCGTAATCAGCTCCTTGTTGAGCAGTGGTGGCCCCTCTGAGACAGCGGAGCAGTGGAACATTGTGTCAGATTAAGACATAGTACCCCAAAAAGCACCCTCCTTCTGCTCACTGATAGCTTGGAGCTGGCCTCGAGCAGAAGTTCCACCCCGTTCAGAGCCCAAAATAAACAGCACGGATGCTGTGCTCCACTGAGACTGTGATTGAAAGTAATGCTTACAAGAAAAAAAAAGTTAAACCACAACAAATTGCACATTGCTAATGAAGTAACACAGAGCAGCCAGCACAAAGCTCGGCTATGCAAACGGAAGCATTCCTTGTACTAGCAGTGATGTGACAGCGTTAGTGAAACATGTAAGCGTTTGAAAAGCTTTTGAAATCATTCTGCATCGCCTTTAAACATTGTTTAGTACCATGGCTGTATGGGAACGCGCTGTGTGGGCAGAGCCCTGGCTGCTCGAGCTGGCAGCCTGCTCACATTACACTACTCCTGCTCCTCCGAGTCCCATTCTGTGATCGCTCAGGAGCAGCGCCCCAGGGGTTACACAACCAGAGGTTCCTAGCAGGCATGTAGGCGCCTTCTGTGCTGTCTGTGCTACTCCTTATCACTTTCAAGATGGCACTTCATCTTCCTGCTACACACAGCAATTATTACGACGCGAGGAAGAAGTAATCATTTCATTTGCAATGGGAATGTTTAAAGCTACTTTCATGATTACTCCGAAGTTATTGAAGCACTGACAATTTTTTAAACACCTTCACAACATAGCGAAGCAATGAAAAGAAGACCAGGCTAGAAGTTAAGCAGAACAGCTACGATGATATAAAATAGCGTAAATACATTATGAAGCCTATTGTTCTTCAATGGACCCTTGCAGCGCTGCAGATCAAAGCACAGGATTAAAGCCAAAGAGCATGCTGCAGGATACTAAGCCCCTTTACACAGAAATGCAGCATTGCTGGCTTGAGTTCAAGCATTACAGATTGGTGTAGAAAATGACAAAATCGTGCAGTTTTATTTCAGTGACAGTCTGTCATTCAAGGAGAATCTCTTTGACATTAAATCCCAAAACAAAACTGTTCATGCTGTACTTTCACAGCATCAGCTGGCTTCACTGTCTACCTTCCATCTCACTAACATTCTCTCCCTTTTCTCCTTGATTCACAGAAATCCTAAATAGCATTAAATAGTTCTACATGAGAGAGCATTTCCACCAGTTACATTGTAAACCAAGTTTAAAGTGTCATGACCAGACACTTATAATCAGGCATCACAGTGCCTCAAGTCACAACCTAAGTGTAAAGGTTTTAAAATAAGAAATAAGAAGCATCATAGATTTCAACCATCCTCAGTTTACAAATGACTGTTCCACTGCTTTTAAAGATTCCCATCAATTCAGACTGTATTTCTTTCAGTCCCATTAAAGATGGGAAAATTTAAAGGTTTTCTGGTTTAGAATCCCCTCCCCCCCCTCCCCATCATTACCTTGTGATTAATATTCTTCCTCTTGTCTTCAAATTAAGCAGAAGCTACCATATTATGGAGATTTAATAAATTTCACTTATATGAAAATATCCCTGCAAGACTTACAGGACAATTTGTAGATAAGAAGTTCTAAGAAGCACTTCATACTTCCAGCAGTGAATTGACCCTCTAAATACAAATGACTAAAGAGATGTCCCTAGTGGTGTAGAAGTACAATTCTAGGGCTTGAATGGTTATGTTTTAACAGCAATAATAGCTACTATTGGAAAAGAGAGGAAGTTTTTGATGTCAGATGTAAAATTTCTTCAGATGAATTCTCCTGGTTTTGTTTTAAAGTTGCATTAAAGTATACACATACTTCATTCTGAAGATGAAGCTAACATAAAGTCCACCTGTGCATCATGTTCCTCTACAGCACTGAGACATACGTGATACATTCAGTGGATATACATCAATACCTGCTTTCTTTCTATCTCCACTTCGTAGCAATGTAAGTCAGAGAGGAACCACTAGAAGAAACATGAGCTGAGCACTGGGAAAAGGAAAGTATCAACAGCAGCAATAAAAATCAGTAGCATGCTGTTGTAATTTGGTTTATTTGTGTACTGTAGAGTCTGCTTATTTAAGATGTCTCAGGACTGAAAAATAATCTGTTAAATGTTTTCCTTTCAGGATGTCATTTAAATATTTATGTTTGATTCAAATCAATCTCTCTTGCACTCTCCTCTTAAACAGACAGAGTCCAAGAGTTAAAATGGCAGACATGTTGGTTTGTTTTTGTTTCAGTGCACATATCTTTACTGGTGAGTGCCAGTGGAATATATTTTTAATGTAAATATCAAATACAGAATAGGTTTTTCTCCCCAAATGCAGCATCTCAAAGACTCAGGAATTGCAATTCTATAGCCATTCCAAGGAATTAAGTACTGTTCTACACTTAGTCCTAAACTCCCTTATAGCATCGACTCTCACTTTCTTCCTCCAATGCTTAAAAGCATGGAAGGAAAAATTGTTTATTGATCAATATCTTAAATATCAAAGTCCAATGTAAAAATACTGTTAATAAGTCTGATATATATATATATGTGTGTAAGAAATGATTTCTGGTTCAGTATCAAACTACCAGAACAGGGGATCACTAAAGAACTTTTTGTCAAATGAACTGAGAAAGGACAATGCAGTGGATTCCATGCTGTAGTCCACTTCTCTCCTCAAATCCTCTTCTTTGTATAAAACATATAGGATTGACCGGAAATGTTTAGAAGTTCTATAGTTTCAACAATCATCTTCAGAAAGGCTTTCCTCATTCCTAACCAGCAGATGGAAAGACAACTTTGTTTTGTGCAAGCATTCAGTTGGTATTTCCTTATATGAACCCAGAAAAGGATTTAAAAGAGAAGGGGCCTGAAGATCACCAAAAGAAACTGAGATCTTTTCCTTGACTTTGATCAGGCATTCTTACCATATACCATAAACCATAGGAAACTGTTCTTTACGAAACTTCCAGCTAGGAACTCTTCAATGTAGCTTTAAACATAAAGTACTGACAAGATGAATAGCTTTAAATCAATGAGAGATGTCATATCTGCAAAGCCATTTTCTGTGGCAGTTGGCCAAGTGTTTTTGTGTTTCTGGATTTTATTATTTCCAGAACTTTTTCTTATTATTTGGAAATTTCTCTCTTCCTTTTGATATACGTGTTCATCTCTCTTGAAAATTAACTGACAAAACAGGAATCCTTCATCTTCAGCCCTTTGACACTGGTTGATATCCAGGATTACAGGATTATTGGGATTTCTTTGTCCTCTTTCTGGGATCCTCTTTCTAAACATTTAAAATTAATATGATTGGTATTTCACATTAGAATTCCTTTACGCTACTGGATAACTGCAGTAGTATAAAACCCTGGCAAATTTTGCCATAGGAAGAGGCGGATATGATGCAAAGAAAAAAAATGGGCAGCACAAGGCGGTATCTTAAGGGAAGTGCTTGAATTCCCTACCCCAAATTACGTATCTTTAAAGTTGGAAAAAATTTGGAATAGAGAGAGCTCTCACACATTTTAATGTAAGACAGCTGAATGAAATGTTTCTCTTTACTATACTTTATCTTCTCTTGTGTGAGTCCTTATACACATGAACAGGCATGCAGAGTATATTAGCTTCCTGTAAACTAGTTAATCTCTCCATGCAGTGATGTTGTTCCAAGTTAGAATCTCTGGCTGTAGCAGTAAAATGACCGATTGTAACCTCTTCACTGATAGCTTTGCATAAACTAATTTGTGTATAATTGAAGTAATGTCACTATATAAACAGATTTAGGGTCAACAAAATGTATTAGCACTTAACAGCACGGCTGCTACACATCTACAAATCTAATCAGATCAGGATAAAAAAAAAAAATGTGTACTGAGTAAACGAATAAATAAAATAAAATGGTAGAAGTAGAGGAGTAAAGTGTTGCAACCCTAATTCAATGGATGCAGACATTGGAAGAGTATGAGGGAAGTGGGCAGCAGAAACAGACAGTCTTGCATGCTCTCTCTAAACAACATCTCCAACTGCAACTGCAGGAGACAAAACTAGATAGTGTAGACAGTTTGTCTGAGCCAGCAGGGCATGGCATTTCTTATATTTTGAGGGAAACTGAATCAATTCTTCACTGATTGAGGTCCAAACCACAAAGTGAATTTGTTCTTGTCATTTTGTCTCATGTTCAGAACACGTACACTTAGTCATAACACAAACACTTATTTTTACACATCAGTTTTGCAGCAGTAGTTAGTCCAACAGATAGGATTGGAAGCAAGTACACAAGAAATCCCATCTATAAAATACTTGTTATGATCTACAATTAATTGAATAAGGAGTGCTATTGTCATTACAGTTGAAACCAGATTTTATCATTCAATCTTAAGAAGAAATACACACATGATGAGGAAGTCACAAATAGTTGGAACTGGCACCATCTGTAAATTGGTTTCTATGGAGGTTTTCTTCTCTGCTAAAACAACTGTTTAATAAAAATGTAATAAGTTTCTTTCAAAAAGCTGTGCTTTATACTGAATAAAGAGTGTTATTGTTGCTATCAAACCTAAGGATATATTCTGGGCACAAAATCAGAAGGATAAAGAGCTGCCATCTGTGAGAATTCAAAATTCAATTGCCAAGCATTTAATTTTCCAAAATCCACTAAAATAAATGAAGAAATAAGTA